CAACGCTTAAGTCTAAGTAACATGTATCGGCATAATCTAGAATTGGTAAGAGGAGAGATTCCGCGAGCGCAATTTTGGTAGGTATAGGTAAGAAGTAACTCAATCTACGAAGAGAATTAACTGCTGCAAACATCCTTCTACTCACTTCACTAACCTGAGGAACCCAAGAGAGAAATTTATCAAACACAACACCTAGATTTTTAACCGTATCGCTATATTGCAATTGGACCCCGTCAAAAACTATACAAGGAAGATTAGCCCAGTCAATACGTGAAACCAATCTTTGGCTGCCTATAATAATAGCTTGTGTTTTAGATGGATTTACCTTCAGTCCATAAGAATTGCTCCATTCTACAATGGTGTTTAGGTCTTTATTAACTGCATCTATTGTCATGGTTAAATCAGGTAATTTGGATTGAGCGTAGACTTGGAGATCATCAGCATACAGATGGTAGAGAGAAGTTAAATGTTGAGTGATTGAACTAATGAAGATTGAGAATAGGAGAGGAGACAACACGCCACCTTGCGGTACCCCGGCATTTATCGGACTCCAGTCCGAATACTTCTCCTCGATCTTAATCCGTTGCCGGCGCCCGTGCAAGTAACTGTGAAACCAGTCAACGACCTTAGGAGATATGTTTAGAGAAGTGAGAATGGCTAAAAGTAGCTCATAATCAACATTATTGAAAGCGTTGCTGAAATCTAGTAAAGTCAATACTGTTACACACTGGTTATCCATACCGAACCGGATATCATCAGTAATTTTTACTAATGCAGTAGTCGTACTATGACCAGAACGGAAACCGGATTGAAACGGATTTAAAAGGTTGGATTTGGAAAGAAATACAGTCAATTGTTTATGAACAATGCGTTCAAAAACTTTTGATAGAAATGGTAAAATGGAAATAGGCCGATAATCAGAGAAACTGGAAGGATTCGTTTTTTTAGGAAGAGGAATTATCTGTGCATCCTTCCAGGAAGTAGGGAAGCAACCGCTATTGATGGAATGATTAAAGATAGACACAATGACAGGAGTTAGAAAATCGAGAAGAGGAGTGATCATTTTACGACTAATGCAGTCAGAACCAACAGCATCAGAGCTAGCTTCCATAATACTTCTCTTAACATCACTGCAGTCGATTTGACTAAATACGAAAGCGGGATCATCAGGGGTGGGTAAAGCTAAAATTTTATTTTTAGTATTCTGTTTTAAGGTACTATCAATAGTACAAAATGAGGAAAAATGCTGATTGAGCTTATTTAAATCGAAGGTACTATAATTTGAGGGACAATTTCTATTTGCTTTCCCAACCCCAAGGGATTTCAGAAATTTCCATACTCTTCCGGAATCTTTTTCCTCGAGTACAGATTTATGGATATGGCGTCGTTGTTCATCTCTACACAATCTGTTGCATCGATTCCGAATGCTTGTGTATTTAATGCGGTTGGTTTCACTTGCGTTGGTTTTATATTTAGCTTTGGCTATATTCTTTTTGTGTTGTAGCGTTTTTTTATATCCTCAGTTAGCCAAGGAGCAGGAAGATGTTTAATTCTTACTGGGCGTATTGGAGCGTGGGTATCATAAAGCTTCATTAAAAGAGAGTTAAAAATTTCAACCCGTTCATCAGTATTGTCCCCAGTAAGGACTTCAGCCCAGTCAATCTGAGATGCATCCTCTCGCAGAAGATCAAGGTTCATACCACCAAAATTACGTTGGAGAAGAATTCTAGATTTAGCTTTGGGTGGGCGTATTTTATAGGATAAATATAGCAAATCATGGTAAGAAAAGGCATCTGCAGGACATTGACCATGTTTCAATACAAAGTCTACTGAGGAAACTAGAATAAGATCAAGGAGAGATGGAGAACAATTTGGGAAGTTGTGCGTTGCCGATAGAGGAAGAATATGTAGATTTGCTGCCTTGACTAAAGAATTGAGACGGAATGCATGAGAGTCATTTTTTAACAGGCAAGTATTAAAATCACCCATAATAATCGAGTGCTCATATTGTGGGATAAACATGTCTAACAGATTTTCGAGTCCTGTAAAATAATCTATTGTGAGACTAGGGTTATAATACACACCGAGCAGTAATTTCAGGTTGGATAACATAACCTCGATAAATAAATGCTCCGCCCCTGGTATAGCCTGTTCTTGCGATACACTGATCAATTTAAAAGGTATGTGGGATCGAAGATAAATGCCAACACCTCCGCCAACCCTACTGTTCCGATCATTTCGTATGAGGTGAAAGCCAGGAAGAGCATAAGATGTGGAGGATAAACAAGGTTTTAACCATGTTTCGGAGATTAGAATAGCATGGATGTTCTTGTTATCAAAAGACGAAAGCATATCTGGAAAATGTGCAGGAATACTCTGAGCATTAATATGAACAACATTAAAATTTTTCAGAACATCTGAGAAATGTAAATCAAGGGTTTCAGAAAGAGAAGGGAGACTATGGAAACTGCCGTTACTACTCAATCCATCAGTGGAGGAAAATGAGAAAAAGGAGTCGTCCGAGCTTATATCTTTAAATAACATGAATATATAAACATAAACAAATAATATACTATAACAATAAAATTACCTATATAAAACTACTACGCAAATTTGTAAGCTTTTATACCTACCAACAAGTTTTTAGTTTTTACACATTCAATCGAAGTATACACATTGCCAGCAAAGAAAAATAAAATTCAAGGTCATCATAACACGATTAGAAAAAATATATAGAAAAAAAAAAATCCTAATAAACTTCACTATAACATACATATGTATAGTGAAAGATAATATTTTACAACGAACCTATGATAATGAATAGGATGAATGAAGAAATCCCAATCCAATATAATAATAGGCTGTATGGAGAAGTCCCAATCCGTTAGAATATAATAATATAAAATGTCATATCAAATTGACAATTGACATTGCTTTAAAATTAAAAGTACTTAACCTTAAAACTAAAACAATACATTACAATAAAATATAACAAAAAGAAGTTAAACAGTGCAATGATCATAATGAGAAGAATGTTTTAAGTAAAGGACAAATTCACATTACCGCAATAAACTACTTCTTAATTACTCGCTTGGGGCGCATAACAATAGTCTTAGTATTTGGGCTCTTAGAACAAGATTCTAATATCTGTACTGGTGAATTCGCTGCAAGAGGCTTAGACGAAGACGATGCAACATTTATAACATCAAGCTCGTTTAAAGATTCTACTCGATGGCGAACTCCATCCGAGCTAATTACGTATATGCATCCATCGCGAGTCCAGCAATTTGTCACGCCAAAACGCTTCCGAGCCTCAAGAAATACACTGTGTCGAGGCTGCGTTAGGAACTCCGACTGTGTGATGCCAGTACCCTTAAACTTAGTTTTCGCGAACCACACTTTGTCACGGACAGAAACTTCAGCGAACTTTACAACTACCGGCCTAGCTCTGCTTTCCGATGTGCGGCCAAGGCGATAGCTGGACTTGATGCTGGTACTTGAAAAATTAGGCAGATTCAGATGTTCAGCAACAGCTGTGGTTACACGACCGATAAGGTCTTCTGATTTCACCTCGGGAATTCCATGGAAGAGCAAGATCTTACGCCTCCTTCGCATCTCCTGACAAACCCATTAACTGATAGGATTTAAATAATAGTAAGAAGTAAACACATATTTTCAAAGTCGTTTGAAGTTCGTTAATAACAATATTTTTGTATTTCAATAATCTATTAATAACAGCCAGCAATATATTAAATTATGGAAAATTTGCAAAGATCTGTCGCGAAATAAAATTTAATAAGTAAAAAGAATTATCTATGTAACCTTAAGTTAAAGCTTATAATCAATGTCGTAACATTGTTATTTTCTATATAACGCTTACGTTAAACAGTTGCTAGAGTTAGAAACATGCAATATTGAGCTGAATATTACGAAGCAAGTTCTAAGCATAAATGCAGGTTTATTCATGGAGGCAATAGTCTTTCATAACCGACAGTTTGTCAAGATCACACTGTTAATATAACTGTTAGCTTTTTAAAACATTGCGTCGTGCAAGACAAAAAGAGTGTAAGGCTTCCAAGACTAAGTACAATGGGAAATTATCTGCTTAATTGATGAGCCGTCGTGAATTGCTGTATAAAAAATTAATTAAATAGCAATAATTAATTAGGATACTGACCACCGCGTAGCTAGTACAGCTATTCAATTGTATTAAACGTGTAGTAAACGTAAAAAACGGGAAAAAATTTCACTAAAAAGTACACGCTTCGTTGTGTAAATTTCAATTTATTTATTTCCACTTGGTCCACTCTTTCGATTTCACGCGTTCGTGTTGTAAGTTATTACTAATATTTTATTTTCTTTCCTTCTCCTATATAAGTAAGCTATGGTTGAAAAATTAAAAAATTATAGTACGTTGTTCATACTAATTTTACCGTAGAACCGAAATACGCACGTTTATCTGCAACAGTGAATTAGCGATCTGATCGGGTCAGATAATTGAAACTGTGAGATGTGTTGAAAATTAAACACTCTAAAAGAGCTCCTTATTATAAACAAAAAAAAAAACTATCATATAATTTTTTTTATGTGAAAAAGTGGCAAGCGACCAAGCGAGTCATCTGATTAATAGTAGTTACTGCTGCCCATGCTCATATACGACATCTATCCCAATCTAGACGTTGCAAATGTGCACGTGCGTAAACCGGTAAAAACCCGGTTACCTCATACACCGAACAAAATGCAAAATACAAAAGAAATAAATTTACGTAGGTCTCCTTTGAGGAACTTCCGGACTAGTCTCCGCTCAGTTACCAACAGAAGCTGCTATGCAGCTCTACAATAGTAAAATAACGGTTTGCATGATTAAATCTACTATTGACTGATTTTAGTCCATCATCCAACTGCCCACACTGAACTAGAAGGTGTGCGACTCTATATAAAATTTAATAGAGATCTTTTGAATGTGTCTAAAGATAATAAATAAACAATTCTTTTTACAGCCGTCCAACAAACATGTCTGTGTCGTCGGAGCCGGTTACTCGGGTCTTGCGGCTGCTAGATACCTTCAGGAGTACGGGCTCAACTTCACAGTCTACGAGGCGTCACGGTACATCGGCGGCACATGGAGGTTCGATCCCCACGTCGGAACCGACGAAGACGGCCTGCCGATGTTTACAAGCATGTACAAGAAATTAAGGTCGGTCTTACCAATGTCTAATCGACGATTTGTCTTTATTGGTAATTGAAAACAGGGGAATTTGTTATGATATTATATGTAACCATTAGACATATAATATCATAACAAATTATCATTAATCCGTTGTTGATTTGCTCGTTCGTTTGTTTTAAGTGATCAAATAAAATGTTCTAGAGGTCAATATGAGGAAAAACGAAGTAATCGAAAACTATAAAAATTTTTACCCGGATTATTAAGGACTATGATAATAACAGAAGTGGTAAAGTCTAAATTTATAAAGTTTCCTTAGTAGCCTACGAATAGGCTTCAGATTAATAATAGCTGGACTACTCAGGATTCATCCAAGTATATTTTCGTTCAAATTTATTTTTAAGTAGGTTTAATTTGTTCCACGTAAGAGCTTACTGTGGTATCGCCGACAATGAGTACAGTCTACTGTCTATCCATGAAGAAGAGCCTATCGTAATAAACAGCTATTGATAATTATCTATGACGTTTCGTAAATTTGTAACAGAAAAATGTACTTAGTTATCGAAAGTGATATGTGAACAGGAATCCGTCGCGGATTACTTATTATAGTGACGTGCGTATAGAGTCTAGTTTGGTATTATAGTGAAGAGAAAGTTTTGTGAAGTCGCTGAACTCTGGCATAATACCACTTTATATCCGACCACAAGTTTGTCTTTATGTCTTTTTAGTATTTTATAAATCCCAGAGTTCATCTGTGCAACAAATAACCAAATAAGTCTACAAACTGTAATTGCAAATATGTTTACATATGCCATAACTGGATAAGCCGGGTCTGCTGTTACGAAGATAAACATTTAAATTATATTTTATTAAAAAGTATATTACTTCATTTAAAGTGAGTATTTCTTTCTTATGAAAAAAGATATTTAAAACTAAGTAAGCATCAGAAGTACACAAGAAATATTAGTTAAAAACTATTTATTTTATTAAAAAGATATGTACGACACGTAAGAAACCAATTAATATGAATTGTGAAGTCAGCCTAATCAATAATTTAGTATAGCAAATATTTATAAACGATTTGTATTTGATCTGGAATGAGGCAATTATTTTAAGCGTTATCTAGGAACCCGTTTTTGCAGATCTATTTGAAGTACATTAATATGCAATGTTTGCTAATACTTAGTTCTAAAAGATTTTTCCACTACGTAGCTTAGGGTATTAGCTCTTTGAAAACTAGTTCGGATTAGTGTCATATTAAAGCGCGGTTCTTGTGCATTGCCTGTAAATTTAATTACGACAACAAAGGAAAAGGAAGACGAGGCTATATAATCTTCGCGCGTACCAGGCGAAGTTGGAATGACTAAATTCATAAATATGATAAATATATTACAAATCAGATGGTGACGATATAAATGATGGCAGTGATGATAAGTACACAGACAGATATAAAATTATCCAATTATGAATCATGATTTACAACATCACTGTAGTAAGTATCTACCTACGCGTGAATAAAACTTATATATATTCATAATCACCGCAATAAAGATGATGATAAAATGATCTTGCCCAATATGTGTCTTTTCAAATTTGATAATTTTTTCTCGCAATTTAGAGTTTGGCCATCATCAACTTTCCATAAATTTGTTTTAAATTATGACCCGATATTTTTGTGGCTATCTAATGGTGCCATTTAAGAAATTCACCATTCATTTAATTGCCTCCATATGCTCCCAGTAATATTCACTATAAAACAGGCATATCATCACATAGACCTTTTAATCTCTACTACATGGGTGGATGTGTTGTGATTTAAATTCTCATAGGGGACTAAAATTTATGAAATCCTATTCTTTGTAGTAATCTTTTCAGGCTAATTAAAATTTCGTCATGATTATAAGTAACGCGACTGAGTCGTTTTAAAAGAAAATAGAAGAATCCATTAGTTGGTACTATCGTTCACTAGATTTTTTTTTTCATTTGCTTTCGATTCGATTGCCATAGCAAAATCATTTGCATTATGTTTCAAATGATTCTTTTTATTATAATTATCTTATAAAGTTCAAACGATAAAATTAAAGTTATGCAAAAAACAAATCCAGATTAAACGACCGATGAACTCTCCATTAGCAATAAGCGTATAGACGAAGCCGACGTTTGTTTTTGATAAGTGACTTTATCTATGTTTTATAATTATATATAATTCTTGGTATATAAATATCAACAAAAATTTATGAAATAATGGAGCTTTTTCTAAAATATTTTTTTTCACTACGATAGGGCCACGCATTCTCGAAAGTACCACTACCTCTCAGAAGACCGACGTAAAGTAGAAGGCTGGAAGGAGGCCAGATTGGTGCTCTTGATGAAGAATGGTAGGACTGCTGACGTTACCTCTGCGTTCCGACCCATTTGTTTGCTGGACGAGGCGGGCAAACTATTTGAAAGAATTATTGCCGACCGCCTCAAAACGCACCTACGTCAGGTAGGCCCCGACCTATCCGATAGCCAGTATGGCTTTAGGCAGGCGCGGTCAACTGTGGACGCAATACTTTGCGTCCGAGACCAGTCGCAGCGGGCAGTTACCCAGGGTGGTGTAGTATTGGCGGTCAGCTTGGATATCGTGAATGCCTTCAATTCACTACCCTGGCGAACAATCAGGGAGGCTTTGAACTACCACCAGGTACCCTCCTATCTGCAGCGCATTATCGGGGCGTACTTGTACGGCGGGTGCATTCAGTACGTGGGTCGGGACTCGTTAGTACATGAGAGGGAGGTGAACTGCGGGGTTCCACAAGGGTCCGTTTTAGGGCCACTACTTTGGAACCTTGCTTATGATGCAGTCCTGCGTACTGTTCTCCCCAAAGGTGTAAGTGTCGTCTGCTATGCAGATAACACTCTCGTAATTGCCGAAGGGGATTATTTCGAGAGCACCAGTCGGCTCGCCGAGCTTGGGGTGGCATGCGTTGTGGGTAAAATCCACGAGCTGGGTCTTCAGATAGCGCCTCATAAGACCGAGGCGCTTTGGTTCTACAAACGCCCAAGGGGCAGGAACCCACCCAGCTGGTCGGTTCGCGTGGATGACGTGCTGATCCAGGTGGGTCCAGTGATGAAATATCTTGGACTCACTCTGGATAGTCGCTGGGGCTTCGAAGAGCACTTCAGTCGCTTGGCTCCCCGAATTGAAAAGGTAGTAGGTGCTATGCACAAATTGCTGCCTAATCTCGGGGCCCCAGGGAAGGAGTTCGCCGCCTCTATGCGGGGATCGTGCGATCGATGGCTCACTACGGGGCGCCCGTATGGTCTCACCGACTAACGGGCGTCCGACGCTGCAGAGCTAAACTTTATAGCCTGCAGCGAAAAATAGCTATCAGGATCGCACGAGGGTACCGAACGATATCCTTTGAAGCGGCCACTATCCTCGCTCGGTTTCCACCATCGGACATCCTGGCGGAGATGGATGCGCGAGTTTATACTCGGCTCCGACTACCCCAGGATGATGCCGAGCCCCTGGATGCGGGTGAAGTGCGTGAGCAGGAGAGCGTATAAGGGCGCTAGAGGTTTGGCGCGAGCGCTTGGGCGAACCACGAAGCTCGCGCCAGCGAATCGTCACCACGTTCTTGCCGAGCTCCGAAGCCTGGCTAAGCGCGAGGGGATTTGCGCACGTCACCTTTCGGTTGACACAGGTACTCACCGGGCACGGATGCTTTGGTGAGTACTTAAATAGAATCGGACGCGAACCGACAACGCAATGCCACCATTGTGGTGGGAACCGGGACTCCGCGCAGCACACCCTCGATGAGTGCCCCGCGTGGGAGTCAGAGCGTCGGATCCTGGTCCAAAAGATCGGGCAAGACCTTTCTCCACAAGTCGCAGTGTCAGCTGCACTGGTGGAGAAATCTACTTGGACGGCACTGGTCTCCTTCTGCGAAGCTGTTATGCTCCAGAAGGAGATCGCTGAACGAGAACGAGAGAGGGCTGATCCCGCTCGAAGACGAAGGCGCCAGGGCGGCAGAAACGGACGTGCCGCCCCGACAGCCCTGTAGTCACGGGCTTATAGATTAGGGCTAAGGTATTCCCTGCCTGTCGTAAAAGGCGACACGGATTGGCAGCAGCTCGAAGTGGTCTCGAGCGAGAGAGAGGGTATCTTTGGAAGATTTCCGCCCCGATACCAAAAAAAAAAAAAAAGGCGGGGCTCACTTTATTTAAAGGTGGCAATACATCTGCAACCATACGGGTATTGCAATTGTGCATAGGTGGCGGTTATCACTTAAAATCATTTGAAATGCCAGCTCGCTTGCCACCTCCACATTAAAAAAATAATCTTCATGATTCCAAAATTTCTGTAAACTATATTAACCTTATGGAGTAAAATTCAAAGTTCAATAACTGTTCTGGACGGACCTACCCATTAACCATTACCACAAATGTATGCAATAATTGATTTGTTTTTTTGATAGGTAAGATAAGATAGGAGACTATTTTAATTGCTCATCATATCGGTCGTATAAAGCAGGCATGTGGTAAAGGTCACGAAGATTCAATTCGTAGGATGGAGCAGTCTTAAATAATTAAAATACAATTACCGCAATGTAGTTATTATATTTAACTACCGTGATATTACTTATAAATAATAGTACAAAAATAGCTAACTGTCCTACTATGCTAATATGCTAAAATTCAACTGATGCTCAGAACGAGTAAGTAAGGTCTCAAAGAGAGGCTTCTCTTGAACTGTATGCCCTAATACGAAGAAGTTTTAAAAGTTTTTGAATCAAAAGAAGTCATACACCCCTGGCAAGCCGCGTACAATGATCGCAATTTAGACAACGGCTTTGAAATAAATATTTAAAATGTTCTTATATATGTATTTTTAAAATTTATTATAACAGTTATAGCAGAATACCCTAAAATATTTTTTATTGCTTTAAATTAATATATTAAAATTTCTCGAACAAGCAAAAGATAAATTTATAACTATACAGCGTGTCGTTACATAACTACTAACTACTAAATAAATGAACACACATATAGAGGATAACTTTTTAAAATTGTATCAGAAATTTACATTCTTTAAACACCAATATTTACGGAGTTATTAAATTTTCAAAAACAAGCAATGTCAGAACACCCTTACGTATAAAACTGTAACGTAAAGTTCATTTGTAAAGGTCACAAAGCATATGAATGGGTTGAATGAATTTAAAAGAGACAAAACATACTGTTAGAAGGAGAGGCTTGTAATGCGACGCCGTGGCAACGAATGAAAAAGTTTCTGAATGTATGAATCAGTCAGTTGTAGTTGTATAGGAGTTGTAAAGGCCGGCAAAGCATTTGTGAGCCCTCGGGTGTTGCAGGTGTTCATGGGCGGCGGTAATCACTTACCATCAGGTGAGCCTCCTGCTCGTTTGCCCCTTTTCTCCATAAAAAAAAAAAAGGATGTTACATATTTTGTTTCTTTCTTACTTAATTAGTTTGTATGAAAAATATTTTTTTTATATTATGGATTTTTTTTACTTTAATATTTTTTTATGATTATTGGCAAGTAGCGTTAGACGTGTATTCATTTATTGTCGCGATGGTAACGACACGCTGTATATAGAACGCAATTTCATTTCGAATCAGCTGATAACGTTGCTGAAACTAGGTTCGTTTGTAAAGTAAAATGATCATAATGTATTGACATAATATTTCGTAATAATTGCACAACGGACATTGAAGAATAATTTGCAAATACAAAGAAAAAGTCTTCGTTTTCATCATTTAACCAATGGCTTTAATTTATTCATGCATGAATATTCTTGGACTGCAATTAAGTGATCAATGTGTAATTCTAGCTTACACGTAATTCTTAAATAAACTCGGCCAAGTGCGAGTCGGACTTGCGAATGAAGGGGTTCCGTACCATTACAATATATTTACATTTCATAAAAACGGCAAAAAATCATGTTTGTTGTATGGGAGCCCCACTTAAATATATTTTTAATCTGTTCTTTAGTATTTGTTGTCATAGCGGCAACAGATATGCTGTTTCACCCTTTGGGTACGGGCCGCTTAAAATATAAACAAGTGCGCGTACCACCTCGTTCCTTTTAATATTTTGCGTTATACTTATAACAATTAATATCAGCCTATTGCCGTCCACTGTTGAACGTAAGCCTCCCCCAAAGTGCGCCACCTATTCAGGTCCTGGGCAGCCCGCATCCATCCGCTGCCCGCCACCATTCGTCAGTCCATCGTGCTGCAGGGCGTCCCACACTACGTTTCGCTAGCCGTGATGTCCACTCTGACACGTGTCGGCTCCAGCGACCATCAGTACGACTGGAGACATGGCCAGCCTACTTCCACTTCAGCGTGCTAAGTCTGCGCGCATTGTCGGTAACTTTAGTTCTCTGGCGAATGACTTCATTTCGTATCTCGTTTGCCAGAGAAACCCCGAGCATTGCGCGTTCCATCGCCCCATGAGCGACCTTGAATTTGTGGACCAGCCCCACGGTCAGTGTCCACGTTTCGGCTCCGTACGTCATTACTCGTAGGACGCACTGGTTAAACACTTTGGACTTGAGGCATTGCGGTATTGACGACTCAAAAATGTGTCCTAGCTACTTATAACAATAACATACGATGAATCCGTAAAATTACTGTCATTCCATAATATCGTTCAAAGTGTTTTGTGTAAATACGTAGTCGTCTTATTTACCATATATATTTACCAAAACATAAAGAATAATAATTATTTTACTTTTAGGACGAACACACCACGCCAGACCATGGAGTACGCCGGTTTCAAGTTTCCAGAAGACACGCCGTCATACCCCACGGGAAGTTGCTTTTATAGCTACATCATGAATTTCGTAAAATATTTTAACCTCATGAAATACATTCAAGTAAGTCCCCATATATCATATTTTATAATAGTGTTTACCAAATATATAATTATGATTAAACTTAGTCGTCCAGGCCTGTCGTAATTTAGTATCTGGGCTCACGTCTTTAATTTCATTGCATCAAATGACGTCATCACGATGACGACACCAATAAAACCGTTGATTGTAGTGTTCTGTTCCGACGAAGGATAAGTTTGTGCATAAATCTGCATAACTCACTATGCGTCTCATCAACGTTTGTTAAACTGACGCCCGGTTTCTGAAACACTGATCATCGTAGAAGTTAACTAATCAGCTGTCAAATGGCTTTTCAAATGTGATTTAAGTTGCGGAAAAGATGGTTAAACTCTTTGAATCATTCTGAACATTGCTTTTTGTTTCTCAAAAACTGACTTCTACGATGATCAGTGTTTGAGAAACCGGGCGAGAAGGTGTGGGTTTCGTACTTTTTACAAGGGTATTTTTAATCCAGTATCTTGTTAATACGACTCCCACGCTAGGGAATAATAATAATAATAATGACCCAGGTTGTTTGAGGGAGAGTCAACCCACGACACGACGTACAATGGCAATTGTAGAGGTTAACACATGGTCAAACTGTATGAATGATACAAATTGACAAAAATTTAAGAACAAGGTTTTGACGTCGGCGCATTTATAATTTTTTTTTAATCTCAACAATTACAACATTGTTATTTGTAAAATATCGTATCCTTTATTCGATCTTCCATAAACGTTGCATTTTAACATTTCTAGAGATTAGCATGTAAACAATTTGAGCAATGTGCCTTGTAAAGGATTCCATATATGACCATTCATGCTGTACATAGTTCGGCATAGGGCTTCGAACGTGACCAGACTATAAACTATGTTCAATTGAACTAGTGCCATGGAGTTTATACGTAATGATAATTTTCAAATATCATTGTTGTCATCTTATACAATGACAACAAAACCGTTGTAATTCAGTGTCCAGGTGCTCGTTTTTAGGTTTCCGTACCCAAATAAGTAAGACTTCGCTGTCTGTCTGTCTGTCCGTCTGTCACCAGGATGTAACTCATGAACCGTGATAGTTGCACAGTTGAAATTTTCACAGAATTTCATCATATCATTTATTATTATAAATGATATGATGAAATAACATAATAAAAAATATTAAAATGGGGCTCCAAAATAACAGACATGACTTTTTCGCCGTTTTATAGGCACGACAAACTTAGTGCGCGAGCCCGATTCGCACTTGGCCGGTTTTTTATTATTTTAAGTACTGATTCACCCGAGCCAGGTACGTGCACCAGTAAAGATGTATATTTAGGTACTATAAATAATAAAATTTCGAAAAGGTGGGAAGTATACCCTAATACTACGAGTATGTCCAGCAGTGGGATATATATAGACAATAAATGGACTAAGAGGGAGTGTAATAAACTTACAATTCAGTAAATAATAGTTACTGAATTGTAAGTAGTAAGGAGAAAAATAAAAACAATATTTTATCCACTTATGTTTTTTTGTATGTATTTAAGTATTATGTGCATAGGTGCATATGTATTATGTATCATGAATTCCTTGATATGTTTTAAAATAAATTATACCGGTAGAAAAATGTGTCATGAATTAAGACTCACAAGAAACAAAGAACAAGCTAGGAAGTAATAACTTGTCGGTCAAATAGAACGTGAGGTATGCCGCCAGTAATCATATATATGTCTACCTTTGATCTGTCGCGTTTATAAAAAATAAATATTTAATTATAATTTATAATAAATTTAATAAATGTAAGGAAATTAAATTAATAATTAATATATCAATAATCTAATGAAAATATGACTTATCCTCGACTTATGAAACTAAAATTAGTTATAGTATATACCGCATAAACAATACAGCAATCCAAGAAGTAGACACTGTACGTGATCTCGGAGTAATTTATGATAGTAAATTAACGTTTAATGCACACTTAGAAAATATAACAAAAAAAGCATCAAAAAATGTTAGGATTTATCGTAAGAAATTGTCATTCCTTTCGCAATTCCAAAACTAAATTATTGCTTTACAATAGCCTAGTCCGAAGTATCCTTGAATACTGTAGTGTAGTCTGGCGGCCTCATTACGCGACGCACTCATTACGTATAGAAAGAGTTCAAAAACGGTTTATGTGGCATTTAGCGTTTTCTGAGGGCAAATCAAGAAAACTACGATCTTATGAAGAAAGACTTAATTATTTCAAGGTATATCCTTTATCTCATAGAAGAGAAGTGCTTGATGCTAAGTTTGTGAGTAAACTTTTAAATAACAAAATTGATAGCCCACAACTATTGAATTTGCTTAAATTTCGAGTACCTATAAGAATCCCTCGCAAACCTATTACACCACTTTGTCCACCACTAAGAAGAACAGTGCTGGGAAGTAATTCCCCTTATATTAAATTCTGCAAAATAACTAATCTTTTTAGCGATCAAATAGATTTTCATGTTGACTCAATAGCCAAAGTTTGTAAAATAATGTATACCTCATCACTCTTTAAAATTTGAATATATATTTTTACCTTATGTAATAAACATACCGAGCATGCCATAATTTAATTTAACTCATTTTACAACTGTTTATTTTAAGCCACATTTTTATTTTTTATTTTTTTTACTATTTCATTATTTATCAATTTTATTTTATGTTGTTAACTGTTTTAACTATTTTTATACTGTGCTTATCTTTAAGTTATTGTTACACTTATACAAGTACTTATTGTTTCTTTTCTTTTTTATTATTCAGATATAGTGTAAACAGTTGTTGATAGGCCTTTTAAAAAAAAATAAAAAAAAAAAAATAAAAAATGCATAGCTATGAAATAAAAGTAAGTCAGTTTCTACATTCCTTATTGTTCAAGTTTTTCACAATAAATGTATTTTTAATGAAAATAATGATTTAGCAAACACACAATAGGCAGATTTTGACTAAGCTCAATAGTTAATAGTGTTTCTTGAGTATTAAACGCTTTTCGCTATGAAGTCAGATTCGCAAGTTCACGTCCTTACAAAATGAACTAATAGGTTAACGTCTTTCAATTTCTCACGAATAAAATTGTTTAGTCCTTAGCTGACAGTAATTGACTAAGTTATTAATTCAAGTACCTCATAACCGTAAATAAAAATATAAGTGGTAAGCTAATGCCACTTATATTAGCTTTCCCATTTAATTCCTTAATGTTTAAAGACGTGAAAGCTTTTTAATTTTAGTGCTAGTCTCCGTACTTAAGATGAAACTCAAAATGTGTAATGTCTTTTATCTGCATATTTTACTTGAAAGCTATTTATATATGTAAAATAATAATAGAGTGTAAGTTATATTTATAATATATTTTAGAAGTAAAAACGCCTAGTGCAGTTCAGTTCCCAGTTCCCTTTAACGTAACGCAGTGGGTTATCTTAATAGCCTGAGTGATTATATTGTATTAGTTCATTTATGTCGTTCATTAGTGTCGCCTTAATAAGTGTTTGTGGTTTATACACCAATTAAACAAGATACACGCCGCTGGCGTCACTGACTACGGAATTACCTTTGCAATATAACTAAACACGGGCTTAAAAATGCTATACGTCTTTGTGTTATGTCTTGACTACCGCGTAAATAGCACGGAGATTAAAACATATAAAATTATGCATTATAAGTCGATAATTCTATTGAGAGGAGTGAACGCGGCGTAATTTTATATCCTCGAATGAGGCAAACGACTTCCAACCGTAGTGCGACCTTCAAAACATAAAACGGCATTCATTTTAATTTCATTCTAAGAAAGACGTGAATATCAAACTATAATATGTTATAAAACAATGTAAATAAAGTTTACAACATATGCTTGTGGCGTTAGGTGTGCAAATAGTAAATTTCTTTGTACCTACTTTAAAAAGGTTAGGAAAAGAATTTAATGTGAGATTCTTTATGTTCGAATTTCTTTATGTTTTGTACAATATATTAAAGAAAATTAAAAACAAAGCTTCTTGTGCGTCGATTTATTAATAAACTGCGCCGTGTTTCAAAATCCGCGTTTAATTTACGACGATCGTAGGTAATTACGTTGGCTAAACGGCGTCCGGCGTCCGGGGTCGTGGGTTCGATTCCCGCACGTGCAGAAAATTGTTGTGGATCTGGTTGCTTCTTTCCCGGGGAGGTTTGATGTTAGGTAGGCGGCTGGTCTTAATAAATATAGGCAACACCCCTATACAATATGATTCACATGTTGTGCCGACCCTACCTAGGTGGGATAGGGGCAGAAGAATCATGATGATGATGATGATGATGATAATTCATTGACGAAATTTGGCATTATATTAAATTATTTGACAGCAGTATCTTATGATAATATTACCTCAAAACTGAAGTTCGCAAATCAACCTGATTGGTACCAGTAATAAGCAATTTGCTTTCACGGACTACGGTCGCATTATGGGGAGAAATGAATAAATAAATAAACAAGCTCTTACGTCTTTTAGCAAAGTCAAAAGTGATAGGCAGAAATGTTTACTACTACTCAATTTTCATTTGGCTTATTTAGAACGAAATACGAAATACGAAACATCAGATTTTTAGACGATCCATTAGCGTAGTACCTAAATAGTGAAACTGACTCTTTAGCCACGGAAAAATGTTGTGAGTTTTTCTGGTGTTCTGATGTTTATCTTTATTATAATTCTTCTGTACGTGTGTATGTCACTGAACTCCTCCTAAACGGCTGGACCGTTTTAATGAAATTTTTGTGTGTGTTCGGTTCGATTCGAAAATGGTTTAAGGTTTATTTCTTGTCGAATTTAAAGTTGCTTTGTACAGAATAACGTCTGTCCGGTCCGCTGGTATATCTATAATAATATGTATTTAATAACAAAATAAAAGTGTGATAATGGGTACTAGGCTTTTTTTATATGGAACTGTGCAGTGCTTGTCTGCCATCCCACCCGATGGTAAGTGGCGATGGAGTCGTTGATGGTAGCCGCAATAGCTCAGTAAAAGCCTATTCACTCTTGCCTTGGTAACGGTAAGTAACAATCCTACTTAACGTTTAACAGATACCTAGTACCCATAGCTTTGATTAGTGTGGGCCTGGATCTAAAAACTTATTAGGTTCTGAAATCGGAAACCACTGGTTTACTATTTTTTTAGTGTTTGACGAAGTCACATATCGTATTTCTAGCAAACTTTCAATTATGATAGAGTAACATCTACTTACACAACGTCTCCTGCTATATGAAAAAGTAGAAAAAAAAACAGCCAAGTGCGAGTCGGAATCGTGCACGAAGAGTTCCGTGCCATTATCTATAAAAACGGAAAAAAAAATCATGTCTGTTGTATGGGAGCCCCACTAAAATATTTTTTATTCCGTTTTTTAGTATTTGTTATTATAACGGCAACAGAAATACATCATCTATGAAAATTTCAACTGTCTAACTATCATGGTTCATGAGATACCGCCTGATGACAGACGGACAGACAGTGGAGCCATAGTAATAGGGTCCCGTCTTATCATTTGCGTACGGAACATTTATGTAAGATAGTGAGGAGAAGTATTACAAACTCGTATAAAAATAAAATACATGTACATATATACAAACATAGTATTTGGATGCAACTAGTTAGCGTTTTAGATTCGCTTGTTATTGAAAGCATTGCTTGCAGCTCCGGAGTCTAGTGACGCGAATCAAGTGGGCTGGTGACCACTGGAAGCTGATTTACAACAGTTCAGTTGACAAGAACAGTTACACGGTTGCCTGTGACTTCGTCATCATCGCTAATGGGCAGTACAGCAAACCGATACGGCCGACATATGAAGGCGAAGATCTGTTCAAAGGTGGGTTCGTGTCGCTTTTTATTAGTCTAGCTTATGGCCAAGAATTCTAGTGGATTACAGATCACAGGATACAGGAGTGTATTGAAGTGCTTCCTAGGGCTTGAAAGTAATAAAAAGAAATAAACTTTTTGTTCTATCTCCTATTTGAACTCCTTGTAAGAATTCTGTTCAAAAACCATTTATTAGTGCGTGCTTAAGATACAGAAAAAAACTTACTTTCGTGATCGCGACCTGAAATCTATATTTATAATTAAATCTTTTTGTTTGTTCAAAATTTAATAACTCAATGTTGCATGCAATCATAACAGGGTTTTTTGCGAAAGGGAAGTACATTTTTATGTCTTAAATCCCGAAATTAAACTACTCGTCAGGAATGAATTGAAATTGTTACCACAGCATTTTAAAGGAGTCTAGTAGCCTGTTAAACGTGAACACAGCTCAAGCGTGTTGCGAAAACTTGTGAAATCATTCGGCTTCTCCAGCAGTCTTGCAGTAATCTTGCATGGCGAAGTATGGCCTCTGTGGATGAGAAGGGCCCATGCCCTTCATTGAAACGTAAATATAGTGTTGCTTCACAAATAATAGGTTTGTGTGTACCGCGTGGGCGGACCACTCGTTATGCACCGTTATACTTGAGACATGATAAAGGCGAGACCTTGGTTTAATGAGTCTAAATTTTGCCTCTGTGAAGCTTTTGACGCGTTTAAACCCTCATAAACATTATTCTGTAACATAATATTATCCCGTAGTAGAGGTAATTGCATTAGTATAAGCGCAAATCTGTCTTTAATATAAAATAATCACCACTTCATACAGGTACAGAATTAATGTTGTTGCAACAATCAAACAATCGAGTTAGTTTGAATTTAGCATACACTGGTTTCTTTAACACGTTACCCTTGCAAAGACACCAGTAACCACTTATCTTTAAGTATTTATCTTACAGGAACTATAAGGCACAGTCGAGACTACAAGGACCCGGAAGCGTTCAGAGATCGAAGAGTGCTGGTGGTAGGCGCGGGCCCGTCCGGCCTTGACCTCGCCACCCACTTGGTGAACGTCACCAAGAAGCTGGTGCACAGCCACCACCTCGTTTACAACCAGCCGAACTTCCCAAGCAACTACTTGAAGAAGCCCGACATAGATTCGTTCACGTCAGAAGGCGTGGTGTTCCAGGACGGTTCGATCGAGGATGTCGATGACGTCATATTTTGTACAGGTACTCACAAGGTCCTTGTGAACGCGTCACACGAAACCCGTAGTTGTTCCGTTCACGCAATTGTTATTATGTTTTTGTTCGTGAGAAAAACAACCATTCAATTTAACTATATACGTTCGCAATTTGATTAGGTGTGCAGGTGTGTGCGTGTCTTTACTTTCAATGTCTTTATGTTAGATAGTTACTGGTGATTGCAAGTATGTTTTAAACGGTTTTTACTTTTGGTTTTTTTTAATAAAGGGTTTGATAAGTTTTGTTGTTTTCGACTGAATTTATATTGAATATAATAAGACAGTTTTTGTTAGCGTTTAGACTTTAGCGTATCATTGTAATGGCTTGAGTAATATATAACTAATTAATAAATAGGAACTGATGAAAATTCCGGTCACAGGCTATGAATTCGACCATTCGTTCATCGACGAGAGCGCCGGCCTGACGATCGCCGGCAAGTTTGTGCTGCCCCTGTACCAGCACATTGTCAACATCAGACACCCGACTATGACCTTCATAGGCGTGGTCAAGAAAGTTATCACCCGAGTAATGGATGCCCAGGTACATTCATGTTAAAGCTTATTGTCCTCACTTCATCGGGCTTAAATATACGAGTAGAGTAATATACGGTTTTCATAATTGGTGTCGTTATATTAACGTTGGAGGTCGCTACGCAAAAATCTCTTTCACTTTAAATGCGAATGAGAAGCCGCTCGTTTCTCGGACGATGTAAACTAGGGCTATGGCTCAGCCTTATATGTTCCGCTGGTAAAACGCATCAATTAATTTCGGTATGTCACATACACTCTTGTTTACTATGGGATAGCCAGCCGTAGTTTTAATAATAAATTAGTATAAGTTTGTAGTACGTTCCTCCTGCAAAATTAAGAAAAGGTAAGGTGACGCTATTCATCACCACAAATCATCTATTTTTTTTTATTCAAAGAGCTCTATCACTCCGAATTTAGCTCGATGTTACTATATTATCGCTAATGGTTGTGTAATTTTATTATTTTGTTCTGATTGATAGTTTCGTTTTGGGCCTTAGCGAAGTTTTAAAGTTTGATCGGACACTGTCCTGCTTCGTTCCTAAGAGCTTGTTAAGACACTGTATAAATTCAGGTTACAGGGCTACATGGTTTGAGTTTTACGCTACACAACCTAACATGTAACTAACACTAGACTTGTGACAAAATTCTTATCATATATATTTATATCACAAGTAGTGATTAAACGCTTCTTTTTATTTATTTTAGGCGCAGTACGCGGCCGCGTTAGCGGCAGGCCTATTCGAGCTTCCGTCGCAGAATGTAATGTTGAAGATCTGGTTGGAGCACGTGCGAAATCTGCGCAGCAAAAACTTAAGGATAATAGACGTGAACCTCGTTGGCAACGAAATGGTGAGGAGGAGTCTATTGTGATACACGACCCTGAATAATGCATGTGATCTCTCTTTCCTCTGATATAAAACGATACAATAGGCCATCCAATATGGCTGAGGCATCTCATAAAGCGCGTCCAAAAGGGGATACTGTGCTCACGGGCGATCAGAATGGGTCTGATTGTCCACTTAAGTGGGCCCGGCGAAACATAGGACCATTAAGAGAGATAACTAATGATAGTTGTCTGTTTTTTTTCGACCGATTTCAAAAACGGAGGAGGTTCTCAATTCGACTGTATTTTTTATGTTTGTTACCTCAGAAATTTCGACTGAGTGAACCAATTTTGATGATTCTTATTTATTTGAAAGCTGGTGCTTCCCGAACGCGGACAAAGTAGCGGTTATCAGTTTTTTTTATGTGATAAAGTGGCAAACAAGCTGGCGGCTCACCTGATGTTAAGTGATAACCGCCTGCCAATGGACATTTGCAACACCCGTAGGGTTGCAGATGCGTTGCAACCTCTTAATAGTCTTACAGTTGTTTACGATATTCTCCAGAATGGCTATTTCGCCAACCTGACCACGGAGGCCGGTGTGGTGCGGCCGGCGCCGGTGCTGCAGGACATGCGCGACTTCAACGCGCAGAATCGACTCGACGACCTACTTAACTACAGGGACTACGATTACGAGCTTCTGGACGACTTCCACTACGAGAGGAGGTACAACCCTAGGCCGGAGGACTCGTGCGACATGGACTACTAACGGCCTTTTGCAAGACGCTATCTCCCCTGTGCACCGTACCATCCCGCGCTATTTACACGCGTAAGTTCCGCGTGGACACCCTAATCCTCCTAATTGTCGGTGGGCCCGACTTGTATTGACATAAACCCGCGAAACATCATCAACCGCGCCAATCGGATCATCGCCAAGTACATCAATATCTTTAATAAAATACATCTTCAGGATAATATAAATCTACTCTGTGGGAGTCAAGCTCGCTATATTGATTACTAGAGTAATTAATTGTTACAAGAAATTTGTTCCATTGGCTTTCCGCAATATGGCGAAGTTTTTTTATCAACCGAATTCAAAAAAGGGGGTTCTCAATTGGGTTGAATTTTTTTTATGTTTTTACTTCAGAACTCCTACATTTATAAACCGATATAAAAATATTTTTGCATTGGGTTCTGTTTAGCTCTCATATCGTAACATATTAATTTTATCGATATTGGATTAATTATCGGAAATAAATCATGGAACTTATCAAAATCAAATAGAAAATGGATAGCAAGTAAGAAATTTAGGTTTTATTTTTTTTAGTAGTAAAATTCTTACTTTTCTTGTTAGTAGAAAATCATTAAAACGAGAAATATATGGATGAATTCTAGTAAAAGATTTTTATGAAATATTTTTAAAGCCCACTAAAAAATTATGACACGTTGAATTTGCTGTAACTAATAGCTGTAAAACGAAAATGTAAAGCTTTAAAACGAATATGATGCCTAAAAAATTAAATTTAATGATTTTTTTGCCCTACTCCGAAAAACTATACAGTCACATGTTTTCCCTTTCTTGTTCTGTTCTCAGTTTGTCTATGTTTTAGGACAAGCTAGAATTTTGAAAGGCTAATTGTTGCCACAAGCGTATTTCTACATTATATATTGATAAAATAATGCCATTCAAAACGTTAATTTGTTCCGTTCTAAATCAGGATAGATTTGTTCCGATCTAAATGTACTCGAATAATTGTAAAAACATGTAGAGCATTAACAATGCTGTGCCGGTCGTCTAGTAGCAACTGTTCTGGAATCTTCTGCAATAAATTCAAGTAGTAGAAGGGTATAATAACCATACAGTGTTTATTCGGAATTAAGTAAGCAAATCTATGTAAAGAGAATTGCGAAGGTTCTAGACCAACTTTGCACTTCCATTTTTATGTTTGATTGGCGAAATATAAAGATTTTAAAATAAATGTAACAATATTTTATATCATATTTTATTTCGAGCTCTCTGTAGTTAAACATATTTATAATTGTTAAAAGTACCGTACTCCTTTTCTCAGGATACTATGCCAGTTTTGTTTATAAAATGATATGAAATGTTACCAATATACGACCATAATAATTATATTATTAAGTACTAATTGTAATAATAAGTACATGTATGTATTCCTGCGCCTTAAATGTATTGTAGATAAATTAAAAATTTTATGTTACTTTCAACTTTCAATCGTCAACATAATGATAATGGTGTTTATATAAGTAAGCTTAATATGATATACCTGTTGCTGGAATCCAATAGTAAGGTATAATAAAGCTTTTAAATACTCTTTTTCGTTATTATTAATTGAATGCCAATTTTCATGTTCGGGCCTAAGTCGTTTGATAAAACGATTTAATAAATAATTAATGACAAGGCATATAGTTGGCAAGCTGCGTGCTATAAAATATACAGGATGTTTATTTATTTATTTATATTTTTTAAATTTTGTTTACACCCCAACTCAAAAAGGCAAAGTTAATGCTAATAAGCATTCTCTTCCAGTCAACCCAGGGATTAGATGTTCATTACAGTCTATTAAAATGACGAGGCCAATTGAATGTAAGTTAATTTTAGCATAGATTTTAAGGATTTCGAGAACAACATTAAAATGACTTGTATGATGTTTAAAAATTAACATTTTTCGATTTTTATTAAGTTTTATAATACTTACTGCAAATATGAACGGTTTCTATTGCAAATATGAATAGTTTAATAGAGATATTATTCATATAATACCTAGGACGTAGCAAAAATTATCGACAGATTAAAACAAAAAAACCACAAAGTATCGAATATTTGCCAACTTGGAGTCGTTTAAATATTTATACTTTACGACAATACTTCAAATTATTACGTAAGCTTAAGGCTATCGCAAGATATAACATGTTATAAATCAATAATAACGCACACTCGAATCGCTTTGTGTTCGCGAAGATATTTACGAGGGAATTAAGTAATCCAATTTCGTATTTTAAGGTGCGCAGCTGTAACGTGTGGGGTTGGTATCGTTTTCCATGCTCCTCGTGAAATTGTCCTTGTCGATTATCTCGTACACGTAGTTCCTGTACGTGTAAAGATTCTCCAGCTTCGCCTCGGTGTCGACCGATCGTATTTTGAATATGACTGGCGGCACACGGTCAATACCAGATTCCTTCGACATCTCTTCGTAGTACTGATCCTTGAATAGAAACAAATATGATTTAAGGCATTGCCAATGTATTTATTAAAATTGTTCATGATAATTATGTTTACGAGATCTGGCTTTGAATACTAGCAGTATCTGTGTTGAACATTATTTTTCCCATCTAACTAAGGATAAATCATTGTTTTCTAACTTACACGCAGAACCGAAGGCAAACGTATAATTTATGATTTCAATTTTTAACGAGGTTAATAGAGTGTGAATATATCTTTATGTATATAATTCTTTGTGCGTATATTTGTGACTGTGTCCTCTTAAACGGCTGGATTGATTTTGATGATTCTTTTTGTGCGTAATCAAGTAGATTCGTAAATGGTTTAAATTCACAATTTGGTCCACAAAAAATATCTTTTAAGGGTAAAACGGTACCCTACTACTAAGACTTCACTGTCTATCTGTCTGTCCATCTGTCACCAGGCTGTATCTCAGGAACATGATAGTTAGACAGTTGAAATCTTCACAACTTTTTTATTTATAAGTTGTAGTCGGACTTAAGACAACGTCTGTCGGGTCCGCAAAAACACACACAATAAAACATTTACCTCTTTCTCTGCTAAGAAATGTATATCGGATATTGGTCGTCCCTTGGAACGAATAATGTCAGCTTGCTTCTGCCACTCCGCCATCATGGCTTCCTTGGATGGAAGAGTGAAGTTGCCCTTCACCAGGGCTGTCGTGTAGCGGGCCTTTATATGAAACAAATGATAGCACTCAAATCATTTATTTATTATTACCTATGATTTATTATTACAGGTAGGTTATTCCAGAGATCGTCTCAAACTATAAATTAAGAGTAAACCTTTGTTAATTTCGATAAGATATTGCTTGTTGTTTACTTTAATTATATTAACCCTAATTTAACACGTTGTGAGCGGAGCCAATTTTTAAATGAAAATGCATAATGCTCGCGTAAAAACAAAAAAATCAATATCGGAGTCAATATTTGCTTCGGAAGGCATGAATATACAACAAATTAGATGTCATGCGTGATGCAAATACCGAAAAGATCCGAGAAACGAAAGGTATCCGAGTAGGCTGCATCGATTAATCTAGATGTCTATTTCTTCCTGTTATGCAGACACTAATCGTGTTTCTTCGTTAATTCTTTTTAATTTTAGCCTCGGTTAATGGGTTCGACTCCCTCTATGGATCATTGTTCAGCACAGCATTGTTCAGGCACTAGCAACACAGAGATATCGTATATCCTACAAAAGTCCTATAATAAAGATAGTAGTTCTAAATGCACCGGTTCTAGACACACCTGAGCGTCTATAGCGATAACGATGCATGCACGGATCACCAGCCCCATGAAGACCATGCTGGGCTGGTTTATGTTCACCATGTATTTGTAAAGCGGTATGACACTGTGTGTGTCCAGCGTCAAGCCACTAGATTCGTCCAAAAACGGATAATAGTATTGGAAACCTGAAAGAGGGCGATTTGTAAATTATAACCAATGCTTCAGTAGACAGTTTTATCGACTGAAAATTTTAATAGGGGTAAACTAAAAATCGATTGTTTCTAACAGAAATAAAGTAAGTGTGGCATCTCGTCAATATAAGAAGCTGTCGTAATGTACCTAATATTTCTACCAAAATTATTATATCTAATCTTAAATAATTTAAATTTGGATTTGAATTTGATTTGATTCGAATCTGACTAATTGACACAAAAATGCTGTTTAAAACTTTATTATTTGTGTATGAATTTAAAGTGTTATTAGTAACATATGTGCATGGAAATCGTGTTCATGATTATGTTGAATCAAATCAGATAAAAAAAAATTACCGGTGCAATAAATGACATCATCGATTTCTTCGTAGGTACCGTCCACGAAAAACACTCCAGTTTCGTTGTATTCTTTGATATCGGGCTTTTTTATGTAGTGTTTTGGAAATTTAGTTCGAAAGTTCACCTTGGAATGGTGACTATGAACTAGTTTCTTACAAACGCAAGCGACGTCTAAAGCGATATCCATTCCCGACGGACCCGCACCGACGACTATAACACGACGGTCCTTGAAATTTTCAGGAATTCTATAATCGTGACTGTGGATTATAGTTCCTAAAAGAAAATAAAGAATAATATAATAACAAAAATATAAAACATATATGTCTCTTATATTCTACAGTTTTACATATGTAACGTGTGATTTCATCACTTTGTCGAAATTGTTGTTTTTCTAAAGACTAGGCTGCATGTCATATGAACCTTTGCCTTTTCGAAAGGTCAAATCAAAAAGTTAAGTTCATTTGTTGGTACTTGTCATTTGAGATTGCCGCCGGTTCGAATCGACATTGGATAAATTAGTTTTTGTAGATCCATTATCTTCGACTGTGCATGGCTAGAGGTTGAATCGGAACACGTTCCTGGTCGTATTATTTGTGATTGCTGTCTGGGAAACTCTGTGCTGGATTTGTTATCCCTCGTGGTGGATGCTGAAGGCATAGGTGGCTGGCAAGCTGGTCTGAGCTGCTGCTCGATTGAATGTTGTCTTTTACCTCCAGTTGGAGGTCTCCTATATACCCCCAACAGTGTGGCTGTACACACTACACTTGGCCTGACTTTATCTACTGGTTCTGAGCTCAATGCTGACCTGTGCATACAGGGCAGATGTCTCTGCGGTGACATGGATTTTAAATAACTACCTGATTGGACTTAGTTTTTAAATTGAATTGCATAAGTTTTACCATTTCAAATTAATTTAATTATTTAACCTTTTATGGTCGCACAAAGTAATGTGTAGGTCCTATGTACTCACGACTCCCTGAGATACTTAATTGTGATTATTACAACAGTCTGTTCCTAACAGACAAGGCGCCCAACTTATTATTATTATTATATTACAAAATATATTGTATCTGAGCTAGTCCAGGGATTGTAACTTTAAATTGAAGGGATAAATACAAATTCTTAAACGCTAATAAATCTTTTATTAAATAATGCCTTAATTAAACAACCCATCTAACAAAAACGTTACACATATAAGTAAATTTTGAGGAAACAAATGCCAATCAGATGGTGCATCTAATATTAAGTGTCCACTGCCACCCCAGAACATCCACAACACCCGTAGATATCCAGTACCATTGCTAACCTTTATGGAGATGGACCCTTACCTCACTATGAAAATGAAACGATAAAGTAAAATCAGACGCCGCAGTACTTCTCTGACTGACCCAGGGGAATGCAAAAATTTTACCATAATTAACTTTTTGACTGACAGAGAAACCCATAATCATCCTTCTAACGCTCACAGTAAGATGTATAACAATATAATGTAGAAAGTAAAAATATACTTTACACTGTCAAGGCATACGTGTATGTTTGGTTTTAGATGATTACCTTGGAACAGCTGCTCTCCTCGCACTTTAGGTGTGTTGGGTTTGCTGAAATGACCAGTTCCAACAACAACAAAGTCATATTCATTTACGTATTCATTTCCTTTAATGACGTGTTTATACTTCACAATCCACACCTTACCCTGCCGTTTCACTGATGTTACGATGTGTAAGAACTGTGAACGGATTAATGAACCTTATATTTTAGAGCCGTGTATATTTTTAGTATTGAAACATTATTTTTGGTTGCTTTGACGAAGTATAGGTACTATTAGTCGCTTTATGCTAAGTAGATCAAATGGCGTTGGACTCGAACGATGTAAAATTAGTGTAAAGGTAACTATGGTTAAATTTATAAACGTCTTTGAAAGGTATCAAAGACGTTTACGATTCAAATCAAAAGTAAAAGGAAGTGAAAAAAAATTACTAAGTATACATATGAACGACTGCAGAAGAGATTTGTTAGCGACGTGGCGCTATTTCTTTGATATGGAGGCTTTCTCACGATGTGTTCCTTAACTACAGAACACACGTAAATCACCATTTAACAGCAACGATTTCTATGGTACCTAACTACGAGTACTGCTTTTCGCACCTATCTTGATACTACCTAAGTTGAAAATTAAAATTGCACTCCATTTACCTTAATATGTCTCTCCAAGTCAAAATGAACAGCATAAGACTTAATATACTCGTAATATACCTCCCAGCTGGGAAACGATGCCATATCTTTCGGTATAGGAAATCCTCGTAATTCCATTGTTGGTTTCGGCAAATTCGTCCTTAGAAACATATTAAATAAAACATTCAATTCACTGTACACATAAAAAAATAAAAATAATAAGTAGAACGTATCTAATATGAAATTTTGGACCAAATCCAAAATTACAACGAAACTAATGGGCAGGTCCATAAGTACAGTGCGTTTAACTACAGTCAGCTTCTTATATAAAGTGCTAGATAACATATCCAGATATATAGGAACTCCTTAAGTGACCATTTACATTAATATAACCAAAGTCTACTAATTATGAAAATCAACTGTCTTGCACGAACCTATTGGAACATGGGCATCGTGAAATATGTAAGTTCATTCAAAGTTACATAATCATAGAAACAAACACAGCGCCAATGGTTTCTAAGCATTCAAAGTATTCGAAAATATGAAGCACTCGAATTCATTGAAATATATCGCTATTTCTATTGGGTACTCTTTGACAAAGAACACCTAACAGAAGACCGGCGTGAAGTGGAAGTATTATACTTCTGCGTTTCGTCGGGGCCCACTTTATTTTAAGGTGGCATCGCATCTGCAACCCGTGTTCAACGGGTGTTGCAAATGTCAATGGGCAGCGGTTATCATTTAACATCAGGTGTACCGCCAGATGACTTGTCGTCTTCTAACATAAAAAAAAAACGGGAATACTGTTTCGGAGGCGAGAAATAAAATCATCACCTCAAATTCATATACATGCTCGTATGTAATGGTAAACCATTTTCATCTTTGCCCACCCTTGGATCATATCTCCAGGTGCCACCTACATAGCGGGTAGCTTCGAGTACTGTAAAATTTATTCCTTCGTCTTTTAAATATCTCGCCGTGGTTAACCCGGCAATACCAGCACCGATAATGCAGACGCGTGGGTTGGTTGATTTAGCCTGTAATAGAGATAACTTTAAAGTATAATCAAATTATTTGGTAATATTACAAACAAGTAAGTATATCATTATGTTCAATTATATAATGTTTATTAAAAGTGATGTAGCATTTGGTATTTATTCTCTCATGGAAAATAACCTCATGTGAACCCGTTGTTTTTTTTATCATATAAATAATTAGGAAAAAAGAAAAAGCGAATTAAGAGTTGACATAATTATGTGGAAGTTGCTTTAGGTTCGTTAGTTTAGTATTTACATATATTCCTTAAATTGTAATAGGTACAGAACATTACATATAAATTATATTTTTGTACCAATACAACGCCGAACCAGAAAACCTCGTTGTAGGTATATAAAAATAGGATAATGTAGGAATTTACACATAAGAGGAGTCAGGTGATTCCATGTAATTCTACATACAAAACTATTGAAATTCATACAATATTTAAATTTGAATATTTTTTATATAATGTAACGGCGAGATACGGGTGTTTTTTTTATAATAAAAACTCCTTCTGTAAGCACATAAAGCTGCGACTTGCTCGGTTTTGCATTAATATTCTCTCAGGCGTTAACATAAATTTTGATCAAAGACTTTATTATCAAAGAGCACTGTGATCACTAAAAATATTACAATACAAAACTGGACCATATTATGCATCACGCACAAGACTTATTTTAGATCGCCAAGTACTATGGAGGCTAAAAAAGCCGAGAGAGATATAGTCCTCACAGAGGCGTTTGTCCCTTTCTAACACTTGCCATTAAAAGATGTTGTCTTTTGTAGCTTCGCTTATAAATGGGAAGACAAAAAGATTATTAAATATTTTATTTTAACTAGTGACACATAAAATTACTTACTCGTGTGAGTATAGGCCCCTGCCCTGAAGTAGGACATTTTTATTAAAAAGCTGTTTATGAACGTAATTATTATCATCTTACGATTTACATAATACATAATATCTATATATAAAATTAGTGGGAACACTAGCTTATGCGTCCAACTCTATAGAAAAAATTATAGGTATCCTAAAAGAAAAGGACAAAAAGCCTCTGCTCTCGCTATCTCTTTTGGCGCGTTTTTTCAATATCTTGGTATATATGGTATATATTATATATGGTATGTATGTTATATATGGTATATGTTGTTATATACGTCCAATGGTTTTTAATTGATGATTCTAACTGACAAGCTGATACACAGTCACAAAGATATTAAAAAAAAGTTTGAAACACCATTATTTATATAATATGTACATTATACATATGTAGCAGTCCTGCCTGACCGTATTTAAATAAATATGAATTATATTGAATATAATATAGTATTTCTTATTTTATAATCGCATTTAAATTATAAAATATTACTTTTACAGTAAACTTATACCATTCCTCATAAACGCACCTTACGTGATTGTCAATTTCAATCAGATTATCACTATTGTCTATAATAACACTATACAGTTTGGTTATGTTATATGTATTCCACAAAATCTTCAGGTTTTTCGATTTTTTTATGTCATTGCTAATTGTAAGGTAAGATGTGTCGATCATTAAATGTAGATATTATGTATAATTTAATAAAAATACAAAAACTTTAAAAAGTACTGTAATGTTCGACAAAGCTGTAAGGTATATTTAAACTCACCATGTTTTCTTTGTTATTTACAAACAAATTCCTTTGCACCTTTTTTTAAACGAATTATTTTAAATTGTTTTCGCATATATACGTCGATAATTAAGTACCAAGCCGCACAAATCACAGCTTCATTCAAAGCATATAATACAGTACTTTGTCATTGAAGAATAAAGTTCATACTGACACATGTTTGATAAAATATGTAGATGATACTAAAATATTTTAGTATTATATAAACGAACATCATTGTTTATAATACTTGTCTTTTGCAAATACTTGAATGATAACCAATAGTTATCACGAAAGATATAAGATAGGCTTAGTATACGACAAATTTACAAAATTTATTCAATATTTTATTCAAAGGTGAATTAAGGTTAATCATTTAAGGTGCTTCGTTAATGTAAAGTGATGTAAAAGTGAAACATTATTCAAACGAAAATGAAAATGTAAAATGCCGTAATCGTATTGAATGATTCGGTTGAAGAATTAGAGATCGGATTCATCCTACGGCGCGTAGTAAAACATGCATTCTATATGAGCATATTATTTCTATACTTGCAAATTGGAAAAAAATCATCTATACGTACTGATGGAATAAATCTGAAGAGTTTGTTTGTTTGACGTGTTAATCTCTGGATCTACCAGTGGGATATGAAAAATTGTAAATTAATTTGTATATTTTTTTTATGGAAAAAAGCGGGCAAACGAACAGGAGGCACACCTGATGATAAATGATCATCGCCGCCCATGAAGATCTACAACACCGAAAGGGTTGCAAATAAAAAAAAAAGCGTTGTCGGACTTTTAGGAAAGAATATGCTCTCTGCTTGAAGGTTCCTAGGTCATAACGGTTCAGAAAGACCGTCGGCGGTAGCTGTTTCGAGGCAGGAAATGCCTTGAACATCGATGTGGTGTGGATGAAATTTATGGTTTTGGCACGATGTCCGATTGTAAAATTCAGCCGCCGGGATCAATCCACACAATTCCTCGGAACACTCCCCGTGATAAATGCGGTAGGACATGCAGATAATATGATAGCCACATTTATGAGGAAGGCTATTTAGTTAAAATTCTTGGTAAGCCTTAAATATTGTATTATATTTGTAAAACAAGTTAGACGAAAAAGCGCCATCGAACTGATTTATCCACATGTGCTGGAGTAGTATCTCTTATAAATAAGCCAAATTAAGGCATTGGGTCAAATCATTTGTTGAAATTAAAGGGTTATTTTGAGCATTATTATCAGGCAGGCATATTAACCTTTACGAGCCAAAGTTAATACATCATCAAAAAAATTATAAATATAAATTTTGGCTAATAAAGCTGTTAATGTTATTTGGTCACACAGTATAGATTAAATGTAAAATTAAAACAAAAAATTCTAAAATTAAAAAACGAGCACGGAACATTTCCAAGAAGAGCCGAACTAACCAAACGAAAATAAACCTAAAAATTATGCACAACACACTGCTGTATTATTGTTTTTTAAAGTTATATGCGGGTGAAACCGCGGGGCATAGCTAATACCAATTTAAAACATTGAGAAGCAAAATAAGTTAAGATTCGTGAAATACCCTTCATACCCACGATCTTACATAGGTATTTCCTTAATTGACATATTCGTGTAAAATTTTTTTGATCAATTTATTTAAACTTTAATTTTATTTCGTGAAATAATTTTCTATAACTATTTTTAACTTGCACAATGGTACTCTTAGACATAGAGCACTCATGTGTAGTGTATAGAAGTCCACAATTACTTTTTATTTTCAATACTACATTAAGAATTGTCTTAATACATCCAAATTATGTATCATTTTCGCTTACAGCTGTAAAACATTGTGTCAGTCTTATTCACTGGAATAAGACTGACAAAATGTTTTGCCATTTTGTAAGAAACAAATCGAATGAGCCATTGAACCATTACAGTATAATCATAAACAAATGAAATATAAAATAATACCTGATTTACTTTTATGTGATATCCATAAATGACTTCAGACGAAAGTAGGCACAACATGCAGATGAATAAAATTGGGCGCGTATTCAACTCCATTGTCTTTACCAATATTCAATTACATTGCTTCTAATGAGTTCCAGTCGCACGATGTAACTGGGGAATTAGCGTTTTGTATCAAGCATAATATGTAAACTTGACCTTTTATTTAAGGCGCGTTCAAACGGTGGTGGGCCGGGCTTTTTCGAGGATAATTATTTGGTTTTATTTTTAACTTAATGTAACTGACGGCGGTTCGTGCAATACCTGTTTTCAAGAATGTAAAAAATCTAACGTGACGTGTCCCAACTGTAGTATACTGCGTTTTGTATTATGGTTCTATAAAGCCATTGCCGCTATCGTTCTTTGAGGTTTAATATTCTGGAGAAATTTAAACACCACAAATCAATATGTCTTTTTAGGGTTCCGTACCCAAAGGTCACGTTCCGTACCCAAAGGTCACGTTCCGTACCCAAAGGTCACCCAAGGGTAAAACGGGACACTATTACTAAGACTCCGTCTGTCTGTCAGCTGTACGGTATCTCATGAACCGTGATAGTTAGACGGGTGAAATTTTCACATACGATGTTCAGTACAGAATAAAAAACATTCAAGTGGGCTCTCATACAACACATATAATTTTTTTGCCGTTTTTATAGATAATGATAACGGAAACCTTCGGTCGCGAGTCCGCCCAGCACTTGGACGGTTCTTTTATTTCAAATTTCTCATTATGAGGTATTTTCACGATGGTAGGGCCACGCAGCAGCCTCAGCTGTTAAACGAATGGGCAGGCTCGTCCGGGTAAGTACCACGACCTCACAGAAGACCACAAAACCACCGGCGTAAAGTGGAAGTATAATACTTTCGCGCTTCGTCTGGTGAGTCAGGTGGCCGGAGCCCAATTTTCAAAAGGTTGTCAACGTATCTGGAACCCTCGGGTGTAGCAGATGTCTGTGGGCGGCGGTATTCACTTAACATCAGGTAAACCGACTTCTCGCTTGGCAACTTGTCACATAAAAAAAGAGGAGAACTGCCGCGCGTCTCCCAAGGAAGTAACATGTCACCAGTGTATATTGTAAGCATTTTGTCAACCATAGAATGTGATTCTCCAGTCATGTATCATAGTGGACGAAAGGTATAATACGCAAAAGTATACTTACTTTAGTAAAACATCAAGACGCACTTTCATGTGTGTAATAGCATCATGGAAGGGGTTACAAAAATATACCAACAAAAATTCACCGGAACTTGGTATATTAATTTACTTTTCACGCCACAATGGTGGAGCTAATTTGAATAAAATATGTACACAGACAGGGTAAATAACACTGGATAGAGTAAGAATCGTTAGCATAATAATATAATCTTGGTATGCTATTTATCCCATTATAAGTAGAGTAACTTTTTAATGATTACTTTTGTAAGATCGTTCTGAACAAGTTATCTTCCGATTTAATTAAGAGTAAATGTAAAGTTTATGGTAGCTGTACGAGAACGCATTCTGCTTCACTTTTAAAATGACAAGTGCAATATGCAAATATAATAAATAAAACATAATCGACATAAAAATCACGAAACGGTGCCATATAAGACCTTTTTGTACTTGCTTTGGCAAACGTAGTAGATTTTCAATCTAGATTTATAAAAACATTGAAGGTAGAGATGGATAAAGTAACACTGCGACGCTAATAAAATAATAGTGTGCGGATTCCTTAACTATAGACACATACTATCTTTATCAGTAAATAAATGTGACAATATTGATCTTTAGGCATGTACTCGTATCATGCATCGTAAGTGTTACTTCTGTTTTATTTTGACAACAAAGTACTACTTATCTTATTTATTGAACATTTAAAACTGTCGACGTAAAAGTTAATGAATGAACTTTAGCCGCCACACAATGAAATGGATTTTTAATGCAATGGACGCTTAAGCGCTGTAAGCGCTAAATAAACCTACTGTTATGTTTATTAACCTTATTCGTTGAACTAAAATTCTAGTTTTATGTAAGTTTAACCAGGATATCTTCGGTAATGAACATAAGTTACGCATATATACCTACATATACTTAAAACATATTCACAAATTGGAGGCGGGTTTTGCTATTACTGATGTAACCTAAAATCTCATATATATCGTATAAGCAAAGTTTTATTTTTATGTGGTTTAGTTTTTTTTTAATGTAAGAAAGTGGCTAGCGGGTTAGCGGTTCACCTGATGTTAAATATAAACCACCGCCCATAGGCATTTGCAACACAGGTAGGGCAAATACGTTTCAACCTTTACAAATAGTGAGCCCCGGTTACCTCATTCATCAGATAAAACGCATATGTATAACAATTCTACCGCACAGCGGCCTTCATTGAGGTCATGGTACTTACCCGGACGGACCTGCCCATTCGTGGAATAGCGAATACTACCGCGGCGTCCTACCACGGTCCAATCGGAATCTATAGGACATACAGGGAAACTATCATAAGAACCTTTTTTTTATACAATTTTCAGGTGACCTTGGAAATATAAAAAAATATTTGTCCATGAAGTTTGTATATAATTTGGTAGGAATGTTTAGAATGTGGATCAAATCAATTTGCTGTGACTTCCTTGCAGCGGCGAGTTAAAGATGCCCAGAGTTTAAGATGTTGATCTAATTTTGCCAGCTTTTTACTTAAACTTTCCACTTCACATACGTACGAGCGTTTATGTATATTTTATTAAAATTTTGCAATTGATATTTAAATTGGACTTAAATAAAATTACATAATAATTTCCTTGTATTCGTATTTTATTTTCCTTTATCCATATATGGAAGTGGATAATGAAAATAAAATTATTTTTACACGTAGGTATTTTATTTTCCTCATCCATATATGGATATGGATAAGGAAAATAAAAGACGAATCGATCGGCAAATAATCAATTAGGAGGAATAAAGAAATATATAATTTTTATTTCCAGTAGCTTTGTGTGTTTAAAAACAAATATTTCACTGAACGTCCGGGTACCTAAGTACCACGACCTAACAGAAGACCAGTGTGTAGTGGAATTATAATAATTTCGCGTTTCGTCTGGTGAGTGAGGAAGCCGGAGCCCAATTTTCAAAAAGGTTGTCAACGCGTCTGGAAACACTCAGGTGTATATGTCCATGGGCGGCGGTTTTCACTTATTAAAGTAGAAAGCTTAAGTGACCCTGGAACTAAAACTGAATATCAATTAGAAAGATACGCAGCAGTGAGGCCCAAATGAAAAATAAAGATATTTTAGGAAAGAATTTTTTTTCAACAACGCATTTTTTTTGGCAAACTTATTTATTAAATCATCCATAGAAAGGACGATTTCACTTTTTCTACATTTTCTACGCTAAACTTTAAACAGTTTTACGAAGAAGAAATTATTTTTATCTGTTGTAGTTGTAACAGGAAGGGACTAAAATAGAAAGCATACTGCTGTTACTTACGGAAAACGATGCGAGGCTAGTGAATTTTATCAGTAATAATTTCATAAATGAATGAATTTTCAGATTTTCTAGATTTTAAGCCTGTTTTCAATTCAATTAGGTAGTAGTATTTGGACAATCAATAAGTGTAATGCATCTATATTGAATAAAGATATTTGAATTGTTCATAGCGATCAACTAAAATGTTTTTACTCTTATTATCAGAAAAATAATCGGCATCCTATTTTTATTGTTAAAATTAAAAAGAAAATAACTTCTCCGGTAAAACTTTAATCGTATTTATGATACTTGGTCTATAGTGGTATGAACTATTTGGTTAGTTTGAGAAATTAAGGTATTTAAAGAGTGATAGCACATATTGAATTTGAAGTACTCTGGTTGAAATTCTTTATCTTCAGTCTTTTGTTTTTGAAATCATTTGTTGCCCCTATTATTTTAATAGATCTTTGGACTTGTTAAGCAAAATCTATATAAATAATTTTAATTTCCTATTTCGATTAGTCTTTAAAAGATTACTTTGTGAAATACAAAAATAATATGCTTTTCGGAGCCGTGATAGCTCAGTGTCCGGGCGCACGCCCTTAATTTAATATACTCGAGAAACCAGAGTTCGACCCCGGTGCCAGCACCAATGAAATTGTCAATTTTAAGTGCTGAATTATCACGTGCTCAGCGGTGAAGGAAAACGTCGTAAGGAAACCTGCATATTTTCGAAATAATAACAAAAAAAATATTTCGAAGATATGTGAAGTCCGCCAATCCGCAGTGGGGCCGCGTGGTGGACTATGCGCTGATAACCTCTGTACAGAGGAGGCCTTTGCCCAGCAGTGGGACATGTATAGGCTGATACTTTACTTTACTTAATATGCTTTTTATGTCCTTATTTTCATGCTGTAATACTAAAAGGCGATAAGCATTATACATAAAATCGTAGCTCTATGTTCATAATAATAGGCTGGGGGAAAAGTTTAAACATTTTTAAAGTTTATTTTAACTATAGTATGTAGGTGCCATTTTGTTCGATAATTTTCTGCCATATTGTAGGACATGATCCCATTGCTATAGAAATTCTGGGGCTTATGATCAAAAAACCGCCACAAGTGGTTTTGGCAGTCCTCTCGTGATGTTACCCTGACACTGCCTAAAGAATTCTGAAGAGACCGAAACAAGTGGAAATCTGAAGGTGTAAGTAAGGTCAAGACTATACGGCGGATGCAATAACATCCCTCAGCCCATCTCTCTTAATTTTTGCTCAGTGGCTAAAGATGTGTGAGGTCTAGCGTTATCATGATGAAAAACCACACCCCTTCTGTTGATTAATTCCGGCGGCTTTCTCTCTTCTTGCTTTAATCTCAACAGTTGTTCGCAGTAGAGGTCAGAATCAATAGTCCTGCCTGGGGTAACAGCTCATAATGAATAATGCCCTTCCAATACTACACAGCATTACCTTGTTGCGAGTTAACCCGGGTTTCGCCAGAGTATGTGGAGCCTGACCAGCCTTTGCCACGACCTTTTTCGCACATTCTTGTCATACGTGATCCACTTTTCATCACCAGTTATCATGTTTTTCAAAAATGGTTCGGTTTCCAAACCAATT